GGGAAAAAAATTAAGAAAAATACAAGTTAAAAAATAAAGATAATTAAAGAAAATTGTGGTGGTAAAATATTTCTGTTATTATGTTCATCATTGTTGAGGCGTTATTGTTATTAATTGATGTTAATTTACCCACAGTGCTCTGTATCCTGTGGTTCTGGAATACAAAGTCGTAATGTAGCATGTATGTACAGTGACAACCAGGAAACATCTGGGAATGAATGTAACATAATTGATAAGCCAGATGAAGAGAAGTCGTGCCATCAATCGTGCAGATCAAAATGGATCAGTGCTCCGTGGGGAGAGGTAGGTGCAAATGATTTAACTCCTAATTTAATACATATTTCACAAAAACAGTTTTTTATTTTTTAAAATTTTATTAAAATGTTTTAAGTGTTCAGGTACTTATTTGTGGTGCAAAGTTTACCAATGTGTAGCTTTCCATTTGTGTTTAAATTTACAATATTATTTAATGCAAACATGCACATTTATGTGGGTTTAAAGAATCATGATAGGTTAAATAATAATTTTAGCATTTTCTTTTCTGTTGCAATACAGTGTTCCAAAACATGTGGTGGTGGAATCCAAGAACGTTTAGTAAGATGCCAAGATGAAGATAGAACATGTGATGAGCAAACCAAGCCATCAACTACTCAGAAATGCAACAATGAGCCATGTGCAACCTGGAACTATGGAGAATGGGGAGAGGTAATATCATATAGAATTAAATTAATTTGGCATTTCTACTTGTTCACATGATAGTTCAACATTTTCACATAATGTCTATGTGGTACTGTCACTCTACCTATTCACAGGATTATGCATATACACTTGATAATTCAACATCAGGTTCAACAAGTTCACATGTGGTAGTTCTACCTGTTCACATGATTATACATATTCATATGATAGTTCTGCCTGTTTACATGTGGTAGTTCTACCTGTTCGCATGGTTATATATATTCACTTGATAATTCAACATGTTCACATGTGGTAATTCTACCTTTTCAAAGATACATATTCACATGATATTTTAAAACATGTTCACATGTGGTAGTTCTACCAGTTCACACATGTTCACATGTGGTAGTTCATTTCATTTCATTTATTTATTCGATCAAACACATTTACAGTGGTACAGTACAACAATTCACATGACAGTTCTGCCTGTTCACATGTGGTAGTTCTACCTGTTCACATGATTATAAATATTCACATGATAGTTCTGCCTGTTCACATGATATTTCTGCATATTCATGTGATAGCTACAACATTTCTTAAGATACTTCCACATGTTAATATAATATGGCCCTACTTCCACATGCTTAGTTGTTGTTCCTCAAGTTCACATGACAGCTCCACATGTTCACATGATTGTTTCACATGTTCACATAATAGTGTCACAAATTCACATGATAATTTCACGTGTATAAAATGAAATTCCACATTTTATTTCTCTATGTTCACCTAATGATTTATATTCATACATGTTTTGTTGTTGGAAATGTACTGGTACTCTCCAGTTGAATAACGATTCCATGAACTGTCTTGATCTTAGACATAAGGAGATGGGAATCAGAACTAGTTCAAAATAAAATTAGGTTGCAGGTCAAGTAGTATGCAAGCCAGACTGAAAATGCCAACAATGTCTCCAACATCTTGCTTGTAATAACATACTAGAATGTAAATTTAGAATAAAGTTTGAATATCAGGGATTTTATAACTGGTCTCAGAAACCTTACCTAAACATTGGTAGGTAACCAAATGTAATCAGGTGGCCAATGAAAGGACTTAAGTCCCTAGTGACCACACAAAGCTCAACTACACCTCATTATGTAGATTTTCTTTTTCTCATTGTTTATGTTTGTAAATAATTCCTTACAATGTAATTTTAGTATTGGAATATGTGTCAAAAGAGTTGTTGATCGAAAAACATGACTTAAGGGGATGGAATTAGCTGACAAGGATAGTAATAAAGTGTCAATACTTTTGATCAACACGTTTCAAGAATTTTAAATTATTTATGCTTAAACCTCTCTCTAGCTAGTAGAAAATATATCAAATATCAACAGTACTTATTAAAGCTACATAACTATAGATTTAAAAAAAATTTAATCTGTGTCCTCTTTTACCAAATCTGCCCTTGTATCTAATTAGTGGATTTTTACAAGGTCCATAAAGTCCATATATTATAAATAATTAACATTTTTCAGCTATTTTTAGAAAAATCTAATAAACCATATTTTCAATTTTCTTCTTAGTGTTCTCATAGTTGTGATGGAGGACATAAATCGCGGGCAATCGCCTGTGTTGCAGAAGACGGAAGAACAATTGACATGAACAAGTGTGACCCCAGGCAAATACCAGCAGACAAGATGCTGTGTAACACACATGCCTGCTC